AATGCAATGTCATTTTTGGTGGCACACTAATAGCTAGGATGATCAAGAAAGCCCTTGTGGTGAATAAGCTGAGCTTTGAAGGAAACAACAGATTTTAAGAGGCAGAGGTGAGGAAAGAGTACTTTCTAAGCACAGGAGACAGCCTATTCAAAGGGAAAGGAAAAGAGATAGGAGAGGAAATTATATGTGAGAACAGAAAGATGATCAATTTGTGTTCAGCCAAATTAAGTGACTTGCCCAGGGTCACACAGCTAATAAATGTCTAAGGGTGGATTTGAACTCAAGTCTTCCCGATTCCAGTCCCAGCATTCCATCCACTGTGCCACCTAGTTGCCCTGTACAATCACTAAAGGGAAGTAATATTTAATAAGGTAAGAAAGACAAGTAGGAGTCAGGTTGTGAAGGACTTTCAATGCTAAATAGAAGTCTGTATTTAATTATGAAAGTAATAGGAAGCCTTTGGAGTTTATGAATTAGGGTTAACATTGTGTAAGCAGCTGTGTAAGAAGATGTGGTGGAGAGGGGAAAGACTCAAGGAAGTAAGACCAAATACAAGGTTGTTGCAATATTCCAGGTGTGAGGTAATGAGAGCTTGCACCAGGAGGAATCTACGTGATGTTAAAAAAAAAAAGTCACATCTGAGGCTCTACCTAAAGGGAGAAAACTGGATGCTCTGAGGAGGAAGAAACTTTTTATCCTCCCAAGGATGGCACAGCAGACACACAAAAGCTATCAGGTTAAAGAGCATCCAATAAGACATAAAGGAAGACAAAATCAGTCTTCGTAGTTGCTGATTCCCTGCCTAGGGATATGAAGGCTGCTATTTGTAAACCTAACAAAAAACAGTTGAAAGGTCCATTGTCTTTTTGGGGCATGTATCCAAGACACAACAGAGAACCTCAAAAGACTTGGCAAAACACATGACTTTTGTTGATTCATATGGGCACAAACTATTGACTTCTGTTGATTCATATGGGCACAAACAACACTTCTAGAAGGGCCCTAAAACCCACTATCAATGGCTATGCAGTCTTGGGCAAGAAAACAAGACCATAAGGGTGGAAGCTGTATTTTCCTCACTTGTTTCCCATTGCAAGGGATGCAGAAGAGAATTAATTTGGGAAATAAACAGGTGGCTGAAAAGGTGATATCTGAAAATAAGATGTGGATTTTCGGATTATGGTTTAAAAAGGTAGGAGAACAAGTATTTATTAAGTGCCTAGTATGTGCCAGGCATTGTGTTAAGCGATTTACAAATATTATAGGGTTGACAGATTCCTGACTAGTGATGAAGTATACCTAACACAGGCTGGTAAGAAAGGAGTTGCTCAAGACTGAAATTTTGAAGACCCAATGGGCAACAAAAATATTTGTCTGAAAGGTCAATGTGGATGCACAAAAATGTACAGAAAATGGAAGCAAGGCCAAGTAACAGAAGAGATAAAGCTCAGAATGAACAGAGGATGGTGAGGAATGGCAAAAAAGTTGTGGTTTTGTTTTTTGGTTTGTGTATGTTGGTGTGTGTGTGCACGTCTGCTAACTATAGTTGGAGAAAAAGGAAGATCAAAGAAGGAATAGGACTTTTGCTTAGAGTGGATAGTATGATGATAAGTGATAAGAGAGGAGAGCTGCTCCATTTGTATTTTCCTTATGTTTTTCTTTTCTGTAAAAAGGAAAGACCTCTACATTGGAAATGAAAAAAATAATTAACAAGGAGCTAGTACTTAAGACAATCAAGGACATAGCAAGAGAGGCTCTAGCTGCCCTTGATGAGTTTAAGTCACCTGGTCCAGATGACTGAAACAACTGGCAGACAGAATGGCTGAGCCATTATCAGTGATATCTGAAGGATCATGGAAAATGCAAAAAGTACTACAAGATCGGTGAAGGGCAAATATCCGATTTTTTTAAAAAGAGAAAGAAAAAAGAACAAAGTAGAGTTTGTAAACTATAAGCCAGTAAGCTTGACTTTGATTCCTATGAAAATTCTAGAATGGATCACTAAAAAGATGATTGGTGAACATCTCAAAAAGAGCCAACATGGCTTTATCAGGAACAGGTCATGCCGGATTAACCTCACTTTATTTTTTTTACAAAATTACTTAATTAATAGATCAAGGGAATGCTAGGGTTATAGTTCACCTTGAATTTATTTTTTAAACTGGTTTAATGACAAATGTTGGAGAAGATGTGAGAAAATTGGAATACTAATGCATTGTTGTGAAATGATCCAACCATTTTGGAGAGCAATTTGGAACTATGCCCAAAGAGCTATAAAAATGTGCATACCCTTTGACCCAGCAATAGTGCTTCTATGGCTGTATCCCAAAGAGATCATAAAAATGAGAAAAGGACCCACATGTACAAAAATATTCATAGCAGCTCTTTTTGTAGTGGCAAAGAATTGGAAATTGAGAGTATGCCCATCAATTAAGGAATGGCTGAAGACATTGTGGTATGTGAATATAATGGAATACTATTGTGCTATAAGAAATGATGAGTAGGCAGACTTCGGAAAAACCTGGAAAGACTTGCTTAGACTGATGCTGAGTGAAGTGAGCAGAATCAGGAGAACGTTGTACACAGTAGCAGCCATGTTATGCGATGACTAACATTGATAAGACTTAGCCCTTCTCAGCAATGCAAAGATCTAAGACATCTCCAAAGGTCTCATGATGGAAAATGCTATCCACATCCAAAGAAAGAACTATGGAATTAGAATGTAGATCGAAGCATACTATTTGTTATTTTTTTTCCTTCTGTTGCGTTTTATTTTTTCTTTCTTGTGGTTCCTCCTATTGGTTCTAATTCTTCCTTACAACATCACTAATGTGAAAACATGTTTCATAGGAATGTATATGTATAGCCTATATCAGATTGCACACCATCTGGGGGAGGGAGGCAGTATGAGAGGGACAGAAAAATTTAAACTCAAAAGCTTATGGAAGTGATTGTTGATAAATCAAAATAAATTAATAAAAAACTGGTTTATTATGTTTATTTTTTCAATTGACAAGCATTTTTTAAAAAGATCTGTCCCTTCTACTACCACTCTCACCTCCACTGGAAACTCGCCACAAAAAAAGCAAAGCCTTCAATATTTAGCTATACAGTCCAGCAAAAGGAATTACCGCATTAGTCATATTCAGAAAAGTATGTCTCTTTCTATATTTTACTTTATGAGGAGATGAGTGGTAGGTTTCACCTCCATTCTTTTGAACTCCTGGCTTATCACTGCATTGTGATCATAGTATTCTAAAATCTCTCAAAGTTATTTTCTTTGTAATGTTTCCATTAAAATGTATTCCTCATCTGTAAAATGAGCAGAAGAAAATGGCAAACCAGTCCAGCATTTTTGCCAAGAAAAGCCCAGATCGGGTCACGAAGAGTTGGACATGACTGAAAAACGACTCAACAAGAACAAAATATAAATGTACCATTCTTAGCTCATGAGCTTGTCCTATAGTTTGCAAAACCCTGCCCTATAGCATCTCACTTAATAATATGCATAGGGTAGATGTGACTATCAATAAATACTTAACTATTTGATTGCCCTCTCTACAGCATGCAGTGGGAATAGTTCTAGGAAACAATGGAGACTAAAGTAGATAGCTTAGTCTTAGAATAAGGAAGACTGGATTCAAGTCTTCATTGTGACATGTATTAACAGTGTGAACATGGGCAAATAACTTAAGCTGTCAGGGCACCAGGCAACTTTCTAAGACTGCAAATTACAGATTGCAAATCTTCATCAGTGGATAGAGCTTGAATACCAGGACTTCCCTATGCTAATGAAATCACAGATCTAAAGACCCAAATGGACTATGGAATGCTGGTGTCTCAAAGTGTGCCTAGTGGTGATCATAACCTACAATGTTCTTCAGCTTGCTGTCATGAAGCCTGTGGTGCTTTCAGGTTGGGAGGGCAGTTGATGAAAGGTATATTTTGAAATATCTCATTTTAAGAATATTCCAACCTTGTAACAATGCCTTCCCACACACATCCCTTTTTAAAACAAGTCAAAGACTAATGAGAATATAAGGACCCTATAACTAATATCAAATAAACACCAAACAGTGCCTAATCCCATAAAACAATATAGCTTCCCATTATAATTACAACCTATTACTTCGTTAATTTTTAAATACACGTCTCTAAAGTGAATGATATCAAGTGAACATGAATATGTAGAGAATCCATATGAACTCTTTATATAAGAAATAAGTGGGAAAGGGAAGAGAGAAAAGAATAAGCATAGCATGTACCAGGCACTATGCTAAGTGCCTTTATAACTAATATCTCATTTGATCCTCACAACAACCCTCTGAGGTAGGTACTGTTCTTTGAGGAAATTAAGGCACAGAGGTCAAGTGACTTGCCCAAGGTCATACAACTAGTAAGTGTCTGAGGCCAAATTTGAAATTAGTTCCTCTTAACTCCAGGGCCAGAGCTTTCCACTGCACCAATAATTGCCTCTGAGTATATGCTAAAATTACAATCTTACTTGTCAATACAGGATATAGTAATAATACAATATAATAATATATTTGAGGAAGGAGCCCAGACTCATAATTTCATAAGTTTAGGGAACTCTCAGTGTGGGAACTCCCTCCTCCAATATAGACAGGCAGCTCATTTTTAACTTAGTGTTTTAGAGAGTTGCCTAGGGCACTGAGAGTTTAAGTAAGTGATTTGCCCCAGTTTATAAAGTAAAATTATAGTATAGTATGTGTCAGAGTAGTACGTAAACCCAAGGCCAGGATTGTATTTACTACTACCTCTCTAATAATATATTAATGATGCCCACAATAAAATGTAAAAACAACATAGTAAAACACAAGGAGAGCATAGTGTAACAAAACATCTATGGTGTATTTGTCAAAATAGTAACATCATAATAACATCTTTCAATAGCCCTGCAATTTGATTAATGCAAACTGCAACCATTACATATTTTAGTAAACACTTTATGAGTTCTTGTCACCAAAAAAATTCATTACCTGGTCAACAGCCTTCTGTTACTGAATATCTCTGAGCCTTAGCAAGGCTGGTCCTTGGATGACGGACATATAGACTCCAGTGCTGGCCCGTAACTGTAATAATGACAACAACGATAATTTAAGTTTCTGGAATAATTTAAAGTTTACATAACACTTTATTCACAACAACCCTCTAAGGCACACAGTGGATTTTTACAGTTAGGCAACTTATTTTACAGTTAGGGAAACTGATACATAAAGGTAATGTGACCTGTCCATTATCATACACCTAGAAAGTGCTAAGAACTGTGATCTCAGTCTGGCTCTTCTAATTACATGTCCAGTCTTTTTCCCACTATACCACACCATCTCTCAAAACTCTTCAGGTTTGAGAATTTCTACTTAGCTGGCATCACTTACAAGAACCCAGAGTTCTGTCTATGTCATGAGGTGGTATTAGAGGAGAGCTTTAATCTGCTAGCCTTATGTTTCTAGTTTCACCTTAAATATTTCCACGTGGATATATCACTGACACCTCAAATCCATCATGTCAAACTGAATATGTTATCTTCCCCTCTAAACCTGTTCCTTTCCCTAATTTGACTATTTCTATTCATTGGCATTGCTATTGTCCCAGCATCCCAGGCTCATAATTTTGGAATCATCCCTGATATCTGCCAGTCTTTATCTTCTCAATAACCCAGTGAGGTAGGTATTATCTCTGTTTAACAGCTGAATAAACTGAAATCCTATTGTGTCTACTTCTACAATCTCTCTCAAGTCTGGCCCATCCTTTTCACTCCCACAGCAACCATCTCAGTTTAGGCCTCCATAGATTATTCAAGTAGCTTCCTTGCTTCTCTATCTGCCTGCATTCCATCTCTAATCCATCTTTTACATCCCAACCTAAATATTCTTCCATAGCCAATGATATGTCATCTCTAGTCAAAACTCTTAGTGGCTGCCTAATGATTTCCACAAAAAAGTACATACCTCTGAGTCTGGAATTTGAGGCCCTCTACCATATGTCTCTAACCTATCTGCTTGGCCTTATCTCCTAGCACTATTCACATAATCTATGTTTCAGCCAAACTGGACTCTTTTAACTTACTTCTTCCTCCCTTTCTATTCTTTTTATTATTATTATTATTTTTTTTTTTGGTGAGGCAATTGGGGTTGACTTGCCCAAAGTCACACAGCTAGTGAGTGTTATGCGTCTGAGGCCATATTTGAACTCAGGTCCTCCTGACTCCAGGGCCAGTGCGCCACTTAGCTGCACCCCCTCCTTCCACTCTTTTCTTGCTCTCTCCTGCCTCCGAACCTTTGTTCATGTTGTCACCAATGCCTGCAACATACTCTGCCTCACCTGACCCCAACATCCATCTGTCAAAAGACTCTCCCTTCAAAGGCCAACTCTCAAATGTCTTCTCCATGAAGGCATTCCTAACTCCCAAGATGGAAATATCTCTCTTACATAGATTTTGATAGAACACTGCCTGGATCTTTCCTTTGCTTTTTACCAACTCAACATTATCCCCATTCTACTCAAATGTGGCTGAAGAGAGCTAGAGGAAATCATGCAACTGAGTGTTCTGGGTCCACTACAACTTTATGTTGTCTAATCCCAACTATGCCTTCACCACAGCAAGATGATCCTTTTGCTCTTCCCTAATTCTCCATCCCATGCCCCACAGAGCTCTTCTCCCTTCAAGCTTCTCATACCATTCTTGACCCTCCAACCTCTAAGCTAAGTTCCTCACCATGTACTTTACCAGGAAAATAGAGACCATTTGGCACGAGCTCCTTCTTCTTCCTACTATAAATGTGAAAACCTCTTGACATTCATCTTATTCTTTCCTCCTTTACCTCTGTCTCTAATGAAGAAATGACATTTCTCTTCACCAAAGCTCTACATGTATTATTGATCATAACTCATTTCAACTTCTTCAGATTATCCTCCAAATTACTCCCCTCTAATCCTCAGTTTTCCTCTATTTATTAGATTACTCCCTTGATGTCAAAATCAAAAACATACTTATATCTCCCATCCTGAAAAAAATTGACCATACCATCCCTTCAAGATTATCATTTTATGCCTCTCTTCCCCTTCAGTCAAACTCCCAGAAAAAAATGATCTACGCTGGTTGATTCCACTTCCTTTCTGCTCACTAATCCTTTGATCCTATGCAATCTGGCTTCCAAATGCATCCCATAATGGGGATGATGATAACAAAAATAACCATTATCTACATAGTGCTTTGAGATTTCCAGTACTTTAAAACATTACCTCATTTTATCCTCATAACAACCCTGGGGGGGCAATGCTATTATTATCCCCATTTTATAGACAAGGAAACTGAGGCTGAGGGAGACTAATGACTTGCCTGGGGTCACACAGCTAGTAAGTGTTTGAGGCAGGATTTGAACTTAATTCTTCCTGACTTGAGGCCCAGCACTCCATCCGCTGTGCAATCTTGGCTGCCTCTGAACTTAACTGAAGTTACTCTCTCCAAAGTTACTAGTGGTCTCTTAACTGCCAAATCTGATGAGCCTTTTCTCAACTCCCATCTTTCTTGACCTGTCAGAAGCCTTTTTCGCTGTTTATCATCCTTTCTTCTTGGATACTGTCTTCCCTCCTACCTATTCCAATGTTCTTTCTTATTCTTTCTCCATTGCTGGCTCATCATCTATGCCATGTCTATTAACTACAGATGTGCCCCAAGGCTATGCCCTGAGCTGCCTCCTACTCTCTCTCAAACTCTCTCACTAGTAACCAAATCAATTCCTATGGATTTAACTATCTTTACATAGATGATTCTCCAGTCTATAGATCTAAACATACTCTCTCTTTAGAACACCACCTACAGACATTTACAACTGTTTTTCGGATATTTCAAATTAGATGTCCCTTAGAGAAAAGACTGAATGCATCATCTTTTGGTCAAAGCCTAGCCTTTTCCTAAATTTCCTCACTTAGTCAAGGGCACCACCATTTTGTCAGTCCCCATGTTACTCTTGACTCCTCACTAATCACTCAGTTGCCAAATACTGTTTTCTCTACCTCCTCAATATCTTTCATGACCTCTTCTCTCCCTCGTGGCTACTATTCTAGTTTGGATGCTCATTACCTCTCACTTTTACTACTGCAATAATTTCATACATGGTCTCCGTACCTCAGTCTTTCCTCGTCACTCAATTGTGCACAGCACTTCCAAAATGATTTTTCTGAAGTTCAGATTTGACCATATTACTCCCCTACTTGATAAACTCTAAGGACTCACTCACCATTGTCTCTTAGACCAATATACGCCACTATTTGGCTTTTGAAGCACTGTAGGCTTCAACCTACATTTTCAAACTTGTTATATATTATTTAGCTTTATGTATCTATGGACCAGTCTATAAAAGCCTTCTTTTTGTTCTTTGTACATGATACCCTATCTCGCATCTCTGTCACCTGTATTTGGTATGCTTTCGTTCATCACCTCCACCTCTTGGGATCCTTCATTTCCTTCAAAAATCTGTTCAGATGCCATCTTCTACATAAAGCCTCCCCTGATCTCTCCAAATTTACCTTGTATTTATTTATTGTATACATTTACTTCTGCACAGGTTGTAAACTTCTTGAAGGCACAAACTGTTGCATCTCCAATACTTAAAACAGTGTCCGGCACGTAGTAATTGCTCAATAAGTCCATGATGACATGTATCTCATTTCCCTTTGTATCATAATTATTTATATATGTGTCCTCACTCCCCAGCTCCCATTAAATTAAGAGCTCTTATTGTAGTTATCTTTCTATCACTAGCACCTAGCACATAACAGATGTTGAAGAAACAGTTCATTATTTGGGTGGATTTGTGTTCTTATCAATGAGGGTGCTCCTTTCAAAAGAGAAGAATGTAACACATCCATGCCTTTTCATCATGTGCAATTCATCCTATCGAAGTCTTCCCATAAACCCTTCACAAGGGGTTTACCCACCATACTGGGAGCCTTCTTCTAGGTCTCTCTTTTTTCCTTTCAACAAAGATTTCTTGACACTTCTTGTGTATAAAACCCTATGTTTGCGCTAGGTGTGAAGGGAGATATGATAACCCTTATTGAAGAGCAATGAGAGATAGGGATAGTGGAGAAGAAGGATATTACCAGCATATGGAGAGCCCTGAAAGCCAGGCAAAGGCTTCCACATTCAATTCTGCAGTCAATAGATGGCCATTAGGTAGATAATAGTTTCCTGAAAAGATATGTGACATGATGAAAGTGATGCTTGAGAGAATGAATCAATGGATAGGGAAAGAATTAATGATGAGCAGCAGCTAGAAATGGTGATGGGAAATTTTTTGATGTTATATTCACAAACATGGTAAAAACTCTACAGTATTGTGTAATGGTACAGTTCACATATGTATAGCTCTTCAAGGTTTCAGAGAACTTTCCCCACAACAACTCTCAGGGGTAGAGAATTTAAATATTATTATTCTCAGTTCTTGATATCTTGACATTACTTAGCTATTAATTATTAATTAATTAAGCTATTAATGGAACACTCCATTAGCTCCTTCACTCTCACTATATGACTAGTCCATCTTTTATTAACTAATAGCATCCTTTACATTGCTTCCTCTACACAATTCCTCATTGTCAGTTCCTGTAGCATACTCATTCATCGGATGCCTCTCCATCACCCTTTGGACAGGCCACAATTTTAATTCTACCTATGTTGTGGTATTCAAAGACTCACAGCCATATAGTATTACTGGGAAAAAAATGTTGTTAAAAGACAAGCTTTCATTTCAATGACAAGTTTGGACTCATTAAAAGCAATGTGTAACTTCCCAAAGGCACTGATTTTGTTGAATTGAATTCATGGAGGAAATACAAAATATGTAATTTATTTACATACACATGTTTTTGCCCCACATTTATTAGGGCTATCAAGGGAAGTCACAGCTATGTCCCTCTTATCCAGACAGCTAGAAAGCTTTAATCATTTAGAAGAGATGAAACCTGAGTTTCATAAGAACTCAAATTTATATAGCAATATCAGATTTATAAAATATCAATGAAAAAAGATGTCACAAAAACTGTCTGCATTTTTACCTAGGAAAAG